CACTCCTGTTTCTACAGTGTGTCTCTCTTTCAGCCAGCAAAACAATCAGAAACTGGAGCAAGCAACACAAGAAAAATTGGGAATTGGTGCCAAATAAGTCGTTGTGCTAATAAGAAAATCTTCCTTTTTGGCAAAAATGTCAATGACAATACTTCTCACTAGGCCATGTGACACTCACTGTCCTGAGGACAGCAACCTTCCCAAACACAATATCCATATCTCCACAGCTTGATAGCCGACACATAGTAGCGTATTGTTGTGCTTCCCAGGGACAAAATAATGTATTGTTAACACTTAAGGGAAGCAAAAACTTTGGTTTCAAGGTTAGTTTTTTGGGGGGAGGGGAGAAAGCAAGTTTAATTCCTGTTACACTCGCATATTATTTCCCCTTACATATTCTTTTAGGAAACTATATATACACTTATATATATAGTGTATATATGCATATACACTATATATATACACTTTTTAAACCTTCTCAGCTTTTTACTATAACCCTAGCATCTTTTCCTGCATCCCACAAAACAAGGTGCAGGTTTCTCAGCTAAAAGTCGCACCCAAAAAAGGCCTCAAAATATCCCTTAATTTTTAAAAAGCATTTGATTTTCTCTCTCACAGCTGAGTTCTTCAGATTCTTTTTTCTTTCATAATATGCCCTGCTTCAAGCCTCTGCAAGTAGATAGTAGCTCCTGGGGAAGGAACATATGCTTTTTCTGGTGCACAGGTGCTGCAGCTCAGTCTGAAAGGTAACAATTTAAAGACACTGGTAGCACACAACATTGAAATTAATCTGCCAGTGTATCCTCAGAATAACAGCATGGTCTGTTCTTAAAATTAGTGCTTATCTATTCTCAATAATACATGGAGCCTAAAACAACAGAAAAAAAATCCTAAAGCACATGGCATATGGGGCAGGGTGGAGGGGAGGGGGGGTGAGAAATCTGGGGAGTATAATAATATACCAATTAGGTCTCACATATCTTGTTTAATTGCTAATTGGAGGCAGGGTGAGGAAAGGCTGGTATTCAGTTGATTAAAACAGCTGCTTCAAACAAGCCATTTGAAGTTATCAGAGAACCACTGCAATCTGAGATGGTAGGACCCCTGAAAGCACCTTGGAGCACATTCTGCAAATCCAAATCACAACAGCTACCTCCTAATGGAGCAGTGTTGGTGGCTTTTTCTTCCCCTTTCACAGAAAATTACAATAGAAAGAGTAGCTCTTCAGCATTTGCTCTAATTGAACAGCTACTGATTAGCTTCACAACAATGGGAGAGCAGCCAATTATAACACATGGTACGCTGATTAGGAGACTGCTATACATGAGCATACTAAGCTGCAAGTAACAGATTACCAAAAGATGAACTGAGGGAATATGCTAGTCAGTGTTTCATTAGTACAGTATTTAACTGGCAGAAATATTGTGTCAGTGAGTAAATTGTACCATTCAAATTAATAAAAGAAAAAATGTTATTCATACTCGATTTCTTAGAAATCCAAAATAAATGTTTTAGAAGTTTATAGATGAAAGAAAAAAAAATTTATTTTCCTAACTAGGCATTCACAAAATAATTCCATTATGTCAGAATAATTCCATTATGTCAGGATCAAAATTGCTCGCACTTGACAGAATGAATTTTCTGACTGTTTAGATATTATTTATCCCAAGACACCTTGCAAGCTGGCATTTTTAAAGAAAATTTAAGTATATCATAAATCTAGTTATTCATGGAAATGTCCATGAAGCTATGACTTCTGTTGGAACATAAGAAATTACTAAAAGCAAACTAATTGTTTTTAAGTAGTAAGGTTGGGAAGTTAAAAAAAAAAATCCTAATGCTGAATACCAACAATTGAATAATACAAAAAAAGTAGTCATTTTTTATAATAATGTCTAATTACATAGGGTTTTGTCTGGGAGGTTGCAATGGTTCCATTCCTCCCCAACAAAAAGATAATTCCTTTCCCAGGGATGATCTTTTCCCTGAAAGATTCTCACTCTTGAGCCCTGTGTAGAACAGGTAGGAACTTGCTCTGTAATTACATTTTGATACAGAATCACAGAATGGTTTGGGTTGGAAGGGACCTTTAACGCCATGTAGTCCAACCCTCCTGCAATGAGCAGGGACACCTTCAAGTAGATCAGGTTGCTTAAAGCCCCATGCAGCCTGACCTTGAATGTTTCCATGGTTAGGGCATCTATTATCAGTCTGGGTAGCCTGTTCCAGTGGTTCACCACCCTCATCCTTGTATCTAGTCTGAATCTACCCTCTTTTAGTTTAAAGCCATTACCCCTATCCTATCACCACAAGTCCCACTAAAAAAATCTGTTCTCATCTTTCTTTTAAGCCCCCTCTATGTATTGAAAGGCTGCTATAAGGTCTCCCCAGAGCCTTCTCTTCTCCAGGCAGAATACCAACTCTCTCAGACTGTCCTCACAGGGATGTATTCCACCCCTGTGATCATCTGTGTCTCCCTCCTCTGGACTCACTCCAACAGGTCCATGTCTGTCTTGTGCTGAGGATCCCAGAGCTCCTCAATACTCCTGGTGGGGTCTCACAAGAGTGGAGTAGAGAGGCAGAATCACCTCCCTCAACCTGCTGTCCACACTGATTTTTATTGACCCCAGGATAGAGCTGGCCTCTGCCCTGCAAGCACACATTGGCAGCTCATTATGAGCTTTTAATCCACCACAAGGAAGAGAAGGAGGAATAGGAAAATGAGCCAATTACCCACCTGTTCAGATTATACATTTTAGTTGCACAAAGCTTGCTAAGAAGTTATAGTGAATTTCTTCCTACCTCGTAAAGAAATTGTGAACATTTGGGTGTTACTGTTACATTTCACCACTTGAACAGAAGCCTGAGAACAAAGATGAATACTTCAAACCAACTGAATAGAAAAGCATAAAAGCATTAAGGCAAAAAGGGACTAACGTAGTCAACAGCCATTGAAACAGCTTTAGCTAATAGACATAGATTTATTCCTACTGAATTAGAGAAATTATACACTGGGGAAATTTAGAATTGGAAAAGCCACAGTGGCAAAGTGGAAAGAACTTGGAAAGTTCTTCTACTCTTGAGGAAATGTCCTTCACAGACCACAGACCAGGAAAAGATTGCTGAAAAAATCCAGTGGAAGAAAACCAGCAGTGAGGCAATGCTGTGACACTGTGCCTGTCATAAGGGAAACCTGAGATATTTCTAAAGCTAGATTGTGAACTCAGCACCTTGAGCAGATGTTATCTGTTGTGATACAGAGCACACCGGTATTCAAGCCTATGGCTATAGATTATGCAAAATATCCTCATAAATTTTGAAAGATTCTTAATAATTCATGTCAACACATCAACCTTAGCATCAGAAAAACATCCATTTCTAGAAGTCAGAAAATATCATGACTAAAAATAAGCCTGAAATTATTAGTTAAAAAATTTATGTTCAGAGGCTGCAGGAGAGCAGGCACTATCATCTGAGGACAACACTGTAATAGGCGCTATTCAGCTTCTGTTTAGCACATTCAGTGTAGTGATAATAAAAATTTTTTCACACTCCCACTTACCAACAATTTCACTTGGCTCCTTATTGTAAAGTTTTTTGTTCCAGTAAAGAAGTCTGAGGAAAGGAAAGGAGACCAGAACAACAAGGCAGATGCCAACAAACATATGACCTGTGAAGGCTGCAAAATCCAATCCCTGGAAATAAAAATGAAAGCCTAAATTAAAAACCAGTTGTTTCTCTATATTTCCTACAGGGAAAAGTATTCAACTATATGTACCTTAGCAATCTAAAATAAATATAAAGCAATAAATTAAGTTCCAAGTCAGTAGAAGCTGTATTTCATCTGTTTCGAGGAGACAAGCCACATTACAATTTAATTCAGAAAACTAAAACATAGCATTGCAAGTTATTCTGAAATACATTTAGTGTTCTTTACATGGGTAGAAAATCCTAAACTGAATAATTAACTTTCACTTTTCACTTAAATCACTGTAAGTTCATTTTAAATCACACTGAATTGCAGAAATAGTTAAACTTTAATGAACATCTTTTGTTTTAAACTGATAACAACATGGATTTTTACAACAATTCTATTATTGTATAATTCTATACACTTCACAGCCATGCTTTGAGTAAGATGTTGGACTAGATGACCTCCAAGGACTTTCAACTGAATCGTTCCATGATACCAAATTACACACACTGTAGTGGATCAGGGTTAGCCTTTGGGCTGTGATTTTCTGAAATAGTCCTGACTAGCCTGCCCAAAAGAAGCTGTCCATGAAGCTCCAATGGTAATCACATCTAAGTACTCTGTATCAAGGAACTGTCTTACATAGAGCAAAGGTTGTGTGAACCAGTGGTCCCAGCACAGCAGACCTTTGACACTTGGATGAAAGCATGGTCCAAGTCCTGGATAGCTCAGCTTGCCCAAACTGAATTTTCAAAGAATTCACTGATTTCCCAGACACTCTAGAAAGTTATGGGATCTCTCTGTGCCACAACTTTCTGTCTCTTTAGTGACTTGTCTTCTACCAAATACCTACAGACCCTTCATAATGCCAACAGATATTAAAAACAGCTTCCCATGCAACATCAGACAATACTACTCTCGCGTGTTAAGACTATTGGGGACTTACTACCTTAAATGTGTGTTCTTTTAAAGAAAAAAAAAAAATTTCTCTCTATTGCACCCCAGGGCATAATAAAATAACACACAACACAAGAAACTGATTAAAGTCATAAAGAACTTTTGTAGCCAGGTAAAGATTAATGCTGTTTTGCAAAAAATCCATAGTCTGCAGACACTTAAGTAAATCTCAAACCATAAATATGCAGACAGAGGATTAGAATTTGATCCTATTAAAAATACAGGTTTCAGCTTCATGAGCTAAAGAAAATTATCTTTAGTTGCTATTTAATAGTAGATTCCTTGCCTTTTCTACTCTCCAGCCACTAAAAGGTGAAACTGTATACAATTTCATTCACTGGCCTTTCACTATAAGTCAGCTACTGCCATTTCTTCTATGAAAGTATAAAGATGACTCTTCAGGAATTTGAATAAGATGATTTGAAGAATTGGACAGAAAAACATGGTACCACAAAGGAAAATAATATACCTTCATCCAGTTTGCCTAGATAATAGGTCAGCCAGTCAAATGTCTGACATCTCTGCCAGACAGACTTTACAAGCTACTTTTTTATAAATGCTTAGAAAGATTGACCTCTGGGCATCAAGTCAAGAATCGGAGCTACAGAAGACTTCTACAGATTTCTACGAGGGGTGTTTTGTGGTTTAAGCCCAGCCGGCAACTGGGAACCATGCAGCCGCTCGCTCACTCCCCCACTTTCTTCCTCCCCCCGCTCCCGGAATGATGGGGAGGACAATTGGAGGAATGTAACTCCCACGGGTCGAGATAAGAGCAGTCCAGTAACTAGGGTATAACACAAACCACTACTGTTACCAAGAATAATGATAAGAGGAATAACAAGGGGAGAGGACACAACCGCTCACCACCCGCCGACCGATACCCAGCCCGACCCGAGCAGCGATCTGGGCCTTCTGGGTGACTCCCCCCAGTTTATATACTGGGCATGACGTGCTATGGTATGGAATACCCGTTTGGCCAGTTTGGGTCAGGTGTCCTGTCTCTGCTTCCTCCCGGCTTCCCCTCCTCCCTGGCAGAGCATGAGACTGAGAAAGTTGTTGGTTGGAGTAAACATTACTGAGCAACAACTAAAAACATCGGTGTTATCAGCGTTGTTCCCAGGCTGAAAGTCAAAAACACAGCACTGCACCAGCTACTAAGAAGGAGAAAAAATGACTGCTGTAGCTGAACCCAGGACAGGGTGAAATCAACATTCATAGCTCTAGGAAATTTACAAATAGCAATAAGAAAAAATAAAATAAAATTCTGCAAAGGCTCAATGTTTCTAAGAGCTGCTGCCAGTGTATGTAAAGTCCATATTCCCCATACGTATTTCCTGAACTACAGTTATTTAAGATTGATAATAAATCTAATTTATATATGGGTTACCTGTAAGATTATAGCCAAAAAAGAAAGATCACAAAATTTTGGCCAGAAAAACCAGAATTCTTAAAATCAAGGTGAACTGGCCTTGGTTCAGAAATTTCTCAAGTATTGACAGTGTGCCATTAAATAATTCAGGAAGTATGCAAAATAAGCATTCAGTTTTGTTTGTTCTCTAAAATGGCCTAACAAGAGGTAGGAAGCTGAAAGGAACTAAGCTGTAAAAACACTGAAGCTACATCAAAATAGCAAAATCTGCCTAAATCTGACTAAAAAAAAAAAGGATTATCCTCTGAAAAAAAAAAAAAAAACAAAAAACAAACCCCAAAACCTAAACTGGGAAACAGCTGGTTGAGGGGCAATAAAGTAGTTAGAGGTGGTCAGAATATACTCAAACCAGAATTATCAGAATGAGGAAAATTGCTTTTAAACACTCCACTTAGTGTTGCAAAAAGCAGTGGAGATGAAGCTTTTCTTGGGCGGGCAGCAATGTCCCCACATCATGAATAAGGATGCCATCTACCAGCAGAAATTCTCTGCAGAGATACTCAGGCATAAAGATGACTGCTGTTGTAGACAATAAGAAAGAGAAATAGCAAGCCAAAGAATCCTTGAAAATGCTCAAGGTTAAATATGTAATGTCTCCATCACAGGTTAATGGAACTTGAATTTAAGGATGTGGCTCATTGCAAATAAATGCAAAGATTTACAAAGTCCCTTACCTATACATTTTGAATATCACATCAACAATTGTGCTTTGTTATTGAAGTGCCACAATGCAGAAGATTCTCAAACAAAAAATACGGCACAAGAAATGTGTCACTTGAAACCCACAAAACTAATTTATCTACAAAAAGGAAAACCACATCAACCTAGAAGGTGAACTAAAATGCTGAGATTAAGAAAGAGATTTCAGGTCTGACTGATAATTCAAAGGAATTGAAATGAAAAGGAGATCACAATACTCTTAAAAGAAAAACCAGGATTAGCACAGCTCTGTGACATGAGAACTGACAAAGATGAGCCCTAAAAGGGATTTACAGACACCATCACAAGACAAAAGAATTGTCTACTAGTTTTTTTGGCATCCTATCCAGGAACTTACCCAAAGTTTTCAAAGAGAGTAGCTAGGTTACTTTCTTTGACCATCTTACGATTTTATTAAACTTCATAATACCACACCATTGATCTCTCTCATTTGTGAGGCCCTTTGGGAAAAGAAACATGCTGTTCTGCTGCTAATGCAAAGCAGCTTTCCAATTCTGCTGAAACAAATCGTTTTCTAACATGGAGTGTGCTTATTTCAAGAAACAGCTTGTCTGTGACAGTGCAAGGCTGGATTCAATTCTCTTCCCATCCCTTGCTCCTGGCTTTCACCCCCATTAGCTCCTTCCACTGATCTACATGAGCCGGTGAGAGATAATGCATCCTGATGATCGCTAGCCTTGGGCAACTGGTACCCCACAGCCATGGGGAGGCCAAGGACAACCAAGTGCACTCTTTTTTATGGCTGATATCAGGAGGGATCCCAGTGAAAAACAGACCACTGCACACCCTGACGCTTTAGCCTGGCTGCTTAGCCAGGAGAAGGCAGATTTCACACTAAACATTGTCAAGTAGCTAGTAGTCAACTAGCAGCCTCTGGAAAACTTTAAGAGACTACAGGGTTTACATTGTACCAGAGATACAGCAGAGGATGCCAAGATGGTGGCACAGTTACTTCATCAGTTGCTCCTATTCCTTTTCCCACACCCTAGAAAGGGCATGTAACACCTCCACAGAGCCTACATTCTTACCCTTTGTGGTTGTGGATAACACATTTTATACCTCCTGAGTCCTCTGCACCACTGGGGCCAGGATTCAGCATTGTAAGAACATAGTAAAGTGCTCCATATGTCTGCTGCATACAACAAAATATCATTTTCATAAAGATTTTCTTTTTCCCGCACAGTAGACTGAAATAGGATTGACATGCACAATAGGCAAGAAACACTTTTCTCCCAGGAGATTTCAATCCATCAGATATAGTACATGCTTCAAACATCCCTTACTTGAGGCTATGCTGATTTTATCAAATTTCTCCCATTTCACAGTCAACAGAAAATCTGAAGATTCTGTTTCAGCAAGACAGCAGCCTAAAGGTTCCACTGCCTATAGATTCAGGACTGAAACAGAGTGGGCATCTTTCCTTGATTTATAGTTTTAAATGCAAAGTCAAATATATCAATTTCATGTTAGGAGGAAGTATCGCACCGTTTTGCTAAAACAACAACTTTCTATCATCATTATTTATTTATTTGTTTTTATTGCTTTGGGAAGTGTGAAATTAACTTCTAGTAATTCAGACCTTTCCAGAAGAAATCTGCCATTTTAGAGCAAAGAGAAAGCAAAAAATTATAGCTAGGTGCAATAATTCAGGAAGCAGCAAATACTTTGCTTATAGCCAGAATGGCCTTTACTTAATATTTTAAAACTCATAAAATGAGGAAGAGGAAGAGTAATTTATTATTTCTACATTGGTTTAAACATCCCTTCTAGCTGAGTGACTGAGATCTACATTGTCTCAGGGGGAACAGCTCATGAAGTCTCTGAGCCAGAAATCACTGATGGTTTAACACAGTAACATGAAGATAATGCTTGTCTAAGACACTGACAAAACTCCTTTTTTATCTTGATTACTACATGCAGAGATGGGAAAAAATCTGAAATCAGCCATAAACCCATAACTTTTATTTCATATACCTTACCTAGTATTTAATTTTTTCTTGAGAAAAGGAATCAATGAAACGTCGACATAAAAGGGTAGTTTTAACTACTCTTAAGCTTGTACCCAGCAAACTCAAATAAAAAAACCCTAAAATAACTCAATAAACTATAGGAATCCATTTTCACAATGTTCCAGTGCTTGAAATACCTTTATAGATTCATATATAGGATTTTCTCTCTACCATTTTTCAGAATTACCTACTTTCATTCATAAATTTTTGGTACCACAACTTTTCATGAAATATAATCAACTAATATCTCTTCATACTAAATATCAGCATGAGGGCTGAAAGTCTCTGAAGAATAGAACAGGAGAATCTGATGGCTGTCTTTTCCCAGGAAATTCCTGTTAAGTGACAGGAATAACTCCGAGTGTGATGCTGAAACCCCAAAATCCTCAGAAAACATCAGATTAATAGAACAAGCTTTATCACATGCTAACAAAGACAGCAAATAAGAGGATACAATCCAGTGGCTAGCACATGCTAAAACTGCCTTTTGCTCTTAGCATTATAGCTTTTTAGGGAGATTAAAGCTAGATGCTCTAGTGTACACTATGTTCACACCATAATTTTGCTCTGGAGACTTATTCACCATCCATTCTCTAAAGAACTTATAATCACAGCCTAAGCTTAGAGCACAAGCTATTTCTGATTTGAAAGGGGTGACTGTAGATACCTGTGAAGTTCCCAAATATGAGAACTTAGTGTTCAACTTTCTGAAAACAATGACCATTTCGAAGTTGTTTGTGCCCTACTGTGCACATAAGAATGGAGTTCCCAAAATCTGAAGCATATATCTCTTCAAGAAAAAAATCATGATTTTGCTAACAATGGCCACTCAGTAGCAGTACTCTGAAGGTAATAAAAAATTAAAACATGATCTGTGTTCACTGAATGATTTTCTATTTGCTCTTAATGAAAACTGTTATTTGCCTTCCCTAAAATCACAACATAAATGCTATTTTGTGAAACTTCTTCTAATTCCATGAACAATGAGTACAACAAATCTTCTCCTCATACGCAAATGTTCCACTGATTCTATCCATGATCAAGGGAATGTGTCAGTATTATAAATTAACCACCGCTACAAATAAAAAAATCTTGTTGGCATCCACTTGCATCTTAGAACAAATGAACAGAATTCGATGAGTAAACTGTAACAAAAAACTTATTGGCAGGGGGGTTTGAACTAGATGATCTTAAAGTCCTTTCCAACCCTAACTATTCTGTGATTCTATGATTTATTCAAATATACTTTAAATAAAATATTCTTAACATGACATGACTTTTCCCTAGAACCTAGGGAGAAAAATCTCTCCAGCACTACAAAGAATAAAGCAATTCTAATACTAAAACCCAATAGCAGCACCGAAAGTAACAAGGCTGCACTTCATGTTGTATTGATTTAAAAACTAAGATTTCCTAAGAAAGTGTAAACTTGCATAATATTTTACTAGGCTGCTTTTAGAGGCTCATGTACAACAATAAATGTTCAGAAAGACCGGCAAAATGCTCTTACTGATTGCATCTAATAAAATGGAAAAACCAATCACCTACATAGTGCAATACACTATTCAGCCTCCTACAGAGGCAGTTGTCCAAGTACTCCTGTACTTACTGTGCAAAAATAGCACTGAAAAGGAAGTGCAAGAGGATGAAAAGGGGATTTTCAATTAAAATATCAAAGAGAAAAATTTCCTAGAATGGAAAAAACCATGCCCATAATATTAAAAAGAGGTAAAACCCAGGTATTTTCTGCAGAAAACATCATAAGAGTATCAAAAATACCATATGAAGTGCTGTTTCCATAATGCCATTATTGCGTTCAAGAACTTTTACCTCTGAGACACTTGAAAAAGTTACTTGGTACAAATACAGCAAGAGACACCCTACACATTTCAGAGGCAGATTTGCAGCTGATCATATAACCCCTCCTCACAGCAAACTTTGCTAGAAGTAGTTACTGAGACAAGACAACGTCTATATTTCTTCTGAATAAAAGAGAGCATGCTGGAGCAGGTGGACAAATTAAGAACTGAGCTATTAGTTCAACAGCGCAGACTGTGAGAGGCCAGATGGTCCAGCTCTCTCCCTGCCCTCCCTCTTGGCTTTATCCAGTTACTCCTGCCAGAGCTCTCCCCAGCAAATCTTCTTTAGAGGGAGTGAGCTCTAAGCAGTGAGGACATAAGCTAGTCCATGCCACTCAGCCTCAGAGCTAAAGATAGGTCTTTGACCATAGACTATGATCTACATAAAAGTATTTATATAGATAGATGTAACAGTTGAGAATATAGGAATACAACAGTACAAGTCCCATGGTCCCGTGTTAAATCTGATCAATGTTCTTATATCCTTATTTCTGTGATGCAGCAAAAGATCCAGAGTGAAAACATTTGGAAAGCTTTTGTGCTTGTTTCAAATACTGAATTTGCTATAATGTCACATTTCTATGATATTTATACATCTGTGTCCTCCTAAAATTATCAATATCTCATTTAAGAGAAATGTGAAATTGTTTCCTTTCAGTGTGATTGCTTAATTGCTTCTCATGTTTATAGCCGCTTCTAAAGGTTCTACAAAGATGATGAGTTTCTGAGTGTTTAGGAAAATGACCTGCCTGGCAGGTGCTAATTATTCTGCTTTTGAAAAGAAGTTTTAAATAGTTGCACAGATTTCACATTTAAATTGTAAAATTTAGCTATCAAATCTTCAACCGTCAATATTAGAGTCTCCAAAGTCATCATCCAAACACACTCATTGCAGCACATTTCAAATATTTTGAAGGTAAACATTCAGTTTATTAAATACTATGAACTTTCAAAGACATTTTTCAACCTGGACAGCACTTAATTAATTTGAATGTATTCAGTTAATTAAGAAATGCTTTTTTGGTACAGCAATAGAAACACATTTGACTCCAAATCAAGAAAAGAAAAAAGAAAAACAATTGTACTATAATTCTCTCATCCCACTTGCACAGGTATTTCCACACTAGCACATGCACTACTTTGAATTCCTTTAGATTTATCTATTTGGAGGATTTATGACAACTGGCCAAAACAGAAAACATGGGCTTGGCACCCCTGCAGATGTGCCTGTTACCCTATAGCCCTTTCCACGGTGCTGCTTGGTGGGGAGGGAGGCAGGGGTAGGAGGAGAGCAGAGCTGCCCCATCCCAGGAGTTGCTGCCCCTTGCATCCTGAGCAGACTGCCTCCCTGCTACCCCCGGTACACCAGAGACAGGTGATGCACCAAAAGATATTGGGGAGCACAGTGTCAGAAACAGACATGGGATTTGATGCCTTTCTGTTCAAGGGTGGCAAGGATAGCTGAAAGCATGGAGAACTCACACAAACTCCAGCTCCACCCAGAAGCTGAAGGCTGCAAACGTGAACACCAGCCAGCAGTGGCTCTGCCTATCCACAGGGCAGAGAGGGCCATGTGGATAGGAGGAGATGGTGGAAGCAGGACAGCGTGTCTGGGGTCCTGCAGTCCCACCCAGCACCAGGCCTTCCCTTTGGCACCAGTCACCCAGCAAAATGAAAGAAAGAAAAGCTGAGCGTTGGAAGTTAAAATCTGTCACTGAAGCCTGGGGATACCAAAATGTTGGCAGGAGGTGGGAGCCAGCTGCGGGCCGTGCTGCAGGGGAGGAGTGCCCACTCTCCTTTCACCCCCCACATCCCTTTGGGCTGCAGCTGAAGGACAGTGTCTCTTGCAGCAGGGTCAAGGGGAGCAACACAGCCTCTCACATTGTGGGGTTTTGCATATAGAATCATAGAATCATTACTTCTATTTTGAAATTTCTGAAAAGGAATCAAATTGTCTCATTATTTTTAACTTCCGAGAGAAAGCCTATTCTGAAAAAAGTTTGGATTTTCATCTTCATTTTCACCTTTTTTTTTTTTAACTTGCTGCCTTTTCTTTACAGCCCTCCATTGTTTTGTTTCTTTGCCATTGACAAGCAAATCCTCTGCACCACCACCAAAAAAAAAGAAACTGGTATTCTTAACCCATATCAAAAAGTCTATTCTTCATTGCAATTTTGTCTCCAAAATATCACTCTGTTCTGTCTGATTGTCATACTAAGAGATAGCCTGGCAGAAAAAGTGGATTATAATCTGTTTATTTTGCTGTCTGGGGTAAAAGAAGGTTTAACACTGCATAAGTCAACATTTGTACTTAATTTTAGAAGCCAAACAGCTTGCAGTACATACCTTTTTTCTCAGCTCCCGTTTTGAAACAATGATCACATTTGGTGGATCCCCAACAGCTGTGGCAGCCCCCCCAATATTTGTGAAGATTACTTCTGCAATCAGGACATGCCTAGGATCAAGATTAAGTACTTCGCAGAGCCTGTGGTATAAAGAGAATGAAATTAACCTCTTAGCCTAAAAGTAAATTACCTTACACATTAAAATT